ATTCACATGACAAAATTTTATATGTTAAATATAAAGATGTCACCAAAAAACTGTTATAACTGATTAATAAAACCAGTATGATTGCAAGAAACAAAATAAACATGCAAAAATCAGAAGCATTTTTAAACACCAGTAACAAACTTTCTGAGAAGTGAATCAAGATAACAATTCCATTCAAAATAGCTACAGAAACTAAAATTCCTGGGAATAAATTTGATCAAGGGAGTGAATGACCTCTACAATTAAATTGCAAAATATTGATGAAGAAGATTGAAGAGGATCCAATAAATGGATATATGTCCCTTCTTCATGGATTGAAAGAACTGATGTTGCTTTTTTAAAATGGCCATAGTAAGCAAAGTGATCTACGGGTTCAATACAATTCCTGTCGAAATACCAATAACATTTTTTTACAGAAACAGAAAAAGCATTCCCAAAATTTGTATGGAACCACGAAAGACCCCAAATAGCCAAACCAATTTGGAGCAAAAAGGACAAAGCTGGAAGCAATAAAAACAAAGAAAATTCTGTCATTCACAGTAACATGGATGGAACTGAAGGACATTATGTTAAGGTAAAATAAGTCAGGCATGTAAAGACAAATACTACAAATTCTCACTTATATGTAAAGTTTAAAAATTGGTTTCATGAGGCCAGCGCTGTGACGTAGCAGGTAAAGCCACCACTTGCAATGCCAGCATCCCATATTGGGCACCGGTTTGAGACCTGGCTGCTCTACTTCTGATTCAAGTCTTTGCTATGGCCTGTAAAAGCAGTGGAAGATGGCCCAAGTGCTTGGACCCCTGTAATGTACATAGGAGACTAGAAAGGATTTTTAGTCTCCTGGTTTCAGCCTGGCCCAGTCCCTGCCATTGCAGTCATTTGGAGTGAACCAGTGGATGGAAGATCTCTCTCTCTCTCTCTCTCTAACTCTGCCTTTCAAATAACTAAATAAATCTTTTTTAAAAATACCACCCAAAAAACACAATCCATAAAAGAAAACTTAGACTTCACCAAAATTCAAGATCTTTTCCCTTCAAAAGATGCCAACAATAAAATGCAAGATACAAACTGAAAAAAAGATACTTGCCAATCATATCTGATAAGTATCTAACTTTCAGAAGAATTCTTACAATTCAATAACAAAAAAACACAGTTAAAATAAAAAAAGTGCTTAGTTATTACTGCAAGTCAGATATGCAAATGGCCAACAAACACATGAAAATGTGTTCAACATCATCTTGCAACATGTAAGTAAAACTATTCTGAGATTGTACTTCAAACCCACTAGGAAATCCATTAGAAAGCAAACAAAACAAAGAAAGTAGAAAACATATTATTTTTGAGGATGTGGGGGAAAGGAAATCTTCATACACTTCTTTGGAATGCAAAAGGCTACAGCTTCTTTGGAAATTACTTGTGGTTCCTCTACAAATTAAGCAAAGAATAGCCATATGACCCAGTAATTCCCTTGTAGGTGCATTCTCAAAAGAACTGAAAACAGGTGTTCAAACAAAAATGTGTACACAAATGTTCATAGCAGTGCCATCGGCAACAGCTGAGAGGTAGAAACAATTCAAATGTCCATCCACTAATGATTCAATAAAGAAAATGTAGTACAGCGATACAATGGAATGTTATCCAGCCACGAAAATGAAGGGAATGCTGATTCATGCTACAGAATGGATAATCCTGGGAAATGTTATGGTAAGTGTAAGAACCTAGACACATGAGGCCTCAGAGCATATGATTCCACTTACATGGAATGTCGACAATACATAAATCCAGAGAGAAAGAAAGCAGTAGTGGTTGCCTGCTGCCAGGGTTGTTAATGGGATTTTATTGCAAATGGACGATGGGGATGTCATTGAGATGATGGAAATGTGCTAAAATTGAAATACATGAAATCTGTCCCCTTTGTATTAATAATTTTTTTAAAAAAAGAATGAAACTGACATCTTATGATTTGATTATTATTTTTTAGCCTTGTCTATATTCCTGTGGAACAGTGGCTTTTCTACTTTTTACTTGTTGAACATTGTGGTCAATGATGTAGTCCTATGCTGCCAGTTGCAATGAGTAGATCAGCATCCTGGCACAGAGTAGGCATCCATTGATTGTCTTTGGAGTGACTGAATAAATATGATGAATAGAGCAAACAATAGATGAGCAAGTAGAGTCCAAATATGGCTAAACAAAGAAGTCACACTGGTCCTGCCAGACAGCCAGTCTTAAACTCACCCTAAGGTCAGTGCAGCAGGTGCCCAGACACAAATTCCCTCTCATTTTTCAGAACACTTGGGGAATCAGCAGGCTCTCCCCTCACTCAGAAAAATATCCACCTTAGCTACTCCTTGTCTAATGCCTGCAGGTGTGGCACAGGCTGGGTTTTTCCAAGAGCCTTTTATTCTGTAAAACTTTACACCAGGCAGTGAATGGTGGAGGGTAGTAGGTATACAGTCCATAGGAGCATGGAGGTGGACAGCCTTAGAGGCTGTAGAAAGAGGGTCATGGCTGTGCCCAGCTGGTGGGCCTATGTTCAGTTTGGCTCCAAACAAGAAGAGAATCTTCTCACCAAAGAGTTTTATTAATCCAGAAGTCCCCTCCCCACAGCCCTGGCAGGCAAAAAACACAGCTTCCAGAAACATCGTAGGCACCAAGTGATCATTTTGGATACTTTATTGCTGGGCCTGGAGTTGACAAGCAGGGATACAGAACTACTTGTGGTTCCTAACACAGACACCAAAACAAGGAAGTGATCCATCACAGTCCACACTCCTAAGAAATAAAGAACTGGGTGGAGCACACTAAAGAATCCCCAGACTCAATCACCCCAGTAAACATTCCCTGGCTACAGAAGAGAATTGAAATTTCTAACCCAGAACAGAAATCTGGTTGTGTGAGAAGTAGAATTGGTGGTGGAGACATTTCATGAAATATAATTTTTAACCGTCTTTGATAGTATCATTGGATAAACATCCTTTTCAAAGATAAAAATCCAAGTCATTTCTAACCCCTTTCCTGGAAAAGTTGTCAGATACAGGAATAGCAATGAGGCCCTTTTCTGGGCATGGAGCCCAGGACTCAAACACAAGCACTAGAGAACATCTGGTCTGCCTGATATATAGAAGCTAAAACTCTGTGTGTGTGTGTGTGTGTGTGTGTGTGTGTGTGTGTTTCTCCTATGCTGACTCATGGCATTAAAACCTATCTGGAAACAGTCCCATCCTTCTAGTCAGCCAGTTTACACCCACCCCTTTTGGCTCCTCCTTGATTCAACTGTTAGGTCAAGAGGAAGAAGGAAAACAAATTCAAGAGCTGCCCTTAAGCATCTAGAAGTTTCTGTGTCCCATCTATTGAGAGGGGAGACTGACCCCAGATCTGACTCAGCCCACTTCAGGCTTGACTCTCAAAGCACCAACATTACTTGAAACTTTGGAAGAAGAGTTCTCGAGTATCGTGGCCTCTGCAGGAAGCAAGGAGTTGACAACTGGCAATAAAGACAGAAATATGGCAGGCTTGAGTCCCAGCCCTCATGCAGATCCTGAAATTGAGCTTTTTGTAAAGGTAAGTTTTTCATCTGTAATAATACTGTGTAGAATATATTATTTCTTGTCACTGGAACTCAGCTTCTTAAAAAAAAGAAATTCTCAAAGTTTGGGCTAGAGATAGGAAAGAATTTTGTAATTTTCCTGACAAAATGCTTTCGGCACTCTCAGATGACAATAGGAAAGCAGATCTCACAGTCAAAATGTCAAGGTGATATGGTGGAAAGATAAGGCCGGCACCAGGGCTCACTAGGCTAATCCTCCGCCTGTGGTGCCGGCACTCCGGGTTCTAGTCCCAGTTGGGGCACCGGTTCTGTCCCGGTTGCCCCTCTTCCAGTCCAGCTCTCTGCTGTGGCCAGGGAAGGCAGTGGAGGATGGCCCAAGTGCTTGGGCTCTGCACCCGCATGGGAGACCAGGAGGAAGCACCTGGCTCCTGGCTTCGGATCCGCGCAGCGTGCTGGCCATAGCGGCCATTTGGGGGGTGAACCAACGGAAGGCAGACCTTTATCTCTCTGTCTCTCTCTCTCACTGTCCAACTCTGCGTGTCCAAAAAAATTTTAAAAAAAGAAACAAGGAAAGATAATAAACTGGTTGGTAGTTAGAACAACTAAACTGTAATTTCAATGGCTTGCTATGTAATCTTAGAAAAATGGCTCCCTCCCCCCAGACCTTTGTCCATCTATACAGCGAATGATAAAGTGATCCATATGGGTTTTCCAGCTCTCAAAACCTGTATTTTATGAGATTGATTTTGGAAGAACTGAAGGTGGAGGAGAGGGCCAAAGAATGGCCAGCAAATCCACTCCCACATATCCCAGACAGAATTTTCTAAAACTCTCTCACAATGGGCAAACCTCACAGCAAAGTCACATGGAACTGTGGGAGAAAACAGTAACCCAAGAGTTTGTATGCCTATTATGTGAGGAGACATTTTAGAATGCTGTGCTTCCTCTTTTTGGTCTATTTTAAAGTTTTTTTTAACATGTCTCAACTTTTCAGAAAAGCACTTTGGAAAGTCCCTAAAACAGGATAAAGAATTATGTGTTTCCAAATTAGCTGATCACATAAAAAATATGAGTTATTATAATTAGAAAGTAAATATTTTCCTAAACCCCTGCTTACATTAACTGTTTTGTTTTTTCCCATGTTCTCACTGACTATTGGAAGTATCCTTGATGATAGTAATAATAACAAGCTCTTATTGTGTGTCTGTCCTTTTACTAAATATTTTACATATATTATCTCATTTATCCTAACGTTAGCTGCATAGTACCAGTTTCATCATCAATAAAAATAGTGATGGTAGTAGTTATTACTATTTTGTTACAATTTTAAGTTATTATGATAGTATAATATCGTCCTCATCATTTCTAGATAAACAAAACAATAAAGTTTAAATAACTTGCCATATATATATATATATATATATACACCTATATACACACCCCCTTTATGGCTTACAAAGACATAAAATAAGAGAATGCTTATCAAATTATTAACTATATCTTGGTCAAATAATACTTTTGCAAGGACATCAACTTGTGTTTTCAAAATTGTTAGAGAGAGATCCTTGAATTCCTGCATAGCAAGGTGATCCAAATAAGTTTTTGCTGGACTATGGGGCATACAAGCTACATTTGTCTCTGGATTGTAGCAAAATATGTGACCTGCTCACACATTAATTTCCTAACTGGCCTTTTGCACCTACCAATTCCATACCAGAGGTAATGTCTCTTCATAGAATAAAGTATTGCTTTTGTCTAAATTGTTCATTAAATTAAATCAGGTAGCTCAAATTAGTCATTGACATTGATCCGTGTGTTGATCTTCATAGAGTTCCCACATTTTGAAGCTAATTTCAGCAGAAGAAGTTAGCAAACCACACATTAGATGAGAATATGTTGAATTAAACAGTAACTTTTAGTTGAAAGTAACTAATCAGTTACTAAGTACTTACTCTAGGTAGGCACTGTGCTAAGTGATTTATCACCGATTTTGTGGATACAAAAGCAGAGAAAAGAGCCATTAAATAACAATAACAACAAAGAGCCATTAAATAACTCATTACATAGTGAGTGAATGGCAGCTATAATTCCAATTCTTTAAAATAGCTATGTCTAATCCTTATACAATTGTTTTCAGTTGGGCAAAAAGTTTTTGACATAATTTTCCAGAATTTCATCAGATGGAATGCTTTAGATGAAAGCTTTTCTAATTACATTGATAAAAATTACAAATTTTCTGGAAGAAACCTGAGTATCATCTGTTTTGCTTTACTTTCACATGCATTTCACAGATCTCCAGAAGTTTCTTGGAAGATACTGGGAAGTGTCATAGGGGTTAAGAAGTTCAAAAAATGGTAATGAGTAAGTTTTTAAAGGATTGCTGTTTACTAGTGATATCCCATTTATAGACAATGTGGTATCTTTCTAAAGATTAAATGAGTCTCTGGTTTCCCCCCAGGCATCTTCCCCATACTGCTGATAGGATCCTTATAAGACATTAATTAATCACTTTCTTGTCACAATTAGAATCTGTATTACACTACCTATGTGTTCCTTGTAGTCTGTGAGGATATTGCCTTTAGGCTCTGAATGATTTAGATAAGGTTTATATACAGAAACCAAGAACAACAACAACAAAAAAAGAAACCAAGAACAAAATTTTATAACACAAATTTCATTTTATCTAAATGCAGGACTCAGTGGTTTATTGTTCGTTGTTAAATGGAAAGTTTGCACCTTTCTGATTGGTCTTTTGTAGATTTGCACACAAAATCCACAAAATGGAATGTAACATTTGGACCAAAATTCAGAATGTAGTGCTTTTGTGAAAGCTTTTTTTTTAAAAGATTTTATTTATTTATTTGAGAGGTAGAGTTACAAACAGTGAGAGGGAGAGACAGAGAGAGAGGTCTTCTATCCACTGATTCACTCCCCAAATAGCCGCAACAGCTGGAGCTGAGCCGATCTGAAGTCAGGAGCCAGGAGATTCCTCCAGATCTCTGACATGGGTGCAGGGGCCCAAGCACTTGGGCCATCTTCTACTGCTTTCCCAGGCCATAGCAGAGAGCTGGATCGAAAGAGGAGCAGCTGGGACTAGAACCGGCGTCCATATGGGATGCCGACACCGCAGGTGGAGGATTAATCCACTACACCACAGTGCCAGCCCCTGTGAAAAGCATTTTAAATTGTGCATGGAGGGGCCCATGTTGTGCAGCAGGTAAAGCTGCTGCCTACAGCTCTGGCATCCCATATGTGTGCCGGTTTCTGTCCCACCTGTTCCACTTCCAATTCAGCTCCCTGATAATGCACCTGGAAAAGAAGTGGAAAGTGGCCCAAGTGTTTTGGCCCCTGCCACAAACGTGGGAGACCCAGATGGAGCACCTGGCTCCCAGATCCAGCCTGGCCTAGCCCTGCCTGTTGTGGCCACCTGGAGAGTGAACCGACAGATGGAAGATCTCTCTCTCTCTCTCTCTCTCCCCCCTCTATCTCTGTCTCTGTAATTCTTTCAAATAAATAAATCCTTTTGTTAAAATGTGCACAGAAAGAGGGAAGAGTTGATATTCTTTGAATGTTCAGACCATTTTCAGGCTCTACTAGAACTATCATAAAGACTAATTTATTTTTAAAATCTAATAAAACTACCAGATAGAAGAAAGCTATGTTTAAAAGTGTGAGTTTTAGACTGTATACTTCAGGATTTTCTAAATGCAAAGAGTATGTATTTCATCAATTTCTCACCTGTAAAATGAGGATAATACCTCAATTCTTATTGTGAAGATTAAATGAAATAAATTTGTAAAGGATGGTGGCTGCTATCATGGTAAACACTCAACAAATGTTAGCTACTGCAGCTATTTTTATCATGCTATCAAAAATACAAAAAGTTTTTTTGGTGAATGATCACATCCTGTCTTTGTGAGCTAAAGATACTTAAATGATAAGTAATTTGTCAATCAGACTATGAAATTTATTTCCTAAAGTTTTTTGTGCTGGCACTTTAAATCAGAGTAGCACAAACAGAAAAAAAAATCTTAAGCTTTCCTGTAAAACTTTATTGCATTTCCCCCACACCTCATTGTTTTGACTCTCTTTTTGCCAAGTGGGATCCACCCTTCCTGTTGTATCTATTACTAGACTTTCTTCTTCTTCCTGCCTCCTACCCTAATCACGTTTCCACTGACTAAACCCAGTTCTGATTGGATCTGAAGTATGAATTCTGTTAAAAAGGAAATGCAGCTGCCAAGGTTGGTTGGCTCCTCTCATCCCTATTCATTCCCTGACATCATGAAAAAGCAACAACAAAAATAATATCCTCTGTCACACCCACTGCCAAGGAAAAGAAAATTTGTCAAAAAATTGAAATTATTGCCAGGATTTCTGGAACCTTAATGTTGCTACAAATAACACATCAGAGCAATTTTAAGTTAACATACCCTGCAGATCAGAGGCAAAAGAGAAAAAGAAAACTATTCAAGAGATGAGACATACTGATAGCTTGGACTTCAGTTGCCGGGTAGTACTTGACAGATACTGAGCATCAGATAAACATGGAGTGCATGCATGAATGAAATAATAACCATAGCAAAAGAGATACATTAACTTACTTAGGTAAAATTAAGGTAAAACTGATAGCAATTCATGTTGGGTTCATGACAGAAAGGTGATTCTCATATGCACATATGGGATGTTGGCACCACAGTTGGCACCTGCTGTGCCACAGCACTGGCCCCAGTATACTATTTTTCTAGGGCTTTCATTTCTTTTGGGTAAATATCTAAGATTTAAACTTGGCGTCATATGATAGAAACATCTATGATATTGACATACTCTTTTATAAAGCTGTTGTACAATTTTATACTCCACACATAGTATATGAGAGTACCAGTTGCTCCATGTCCACTTGGTGTTATCGGTCATTTTCATTTCTGTTATTCTATTATATTTATAATATTATCATATTGTGATTTTACCTTACATTTCTGTAACGATCATCTTTTTGTGTTTTTTTTTATCATCTGTGTATCTTCTCTTGTAAAGTGTTCAGATACCTTATCCATTTTTTTTAAGATTTTATTTATTTATTTGAAAGTCAGAGGTACACAGAGAGAGAAGGAGAGGCAGAGAGAAAGACAGAGAGGTCTTCCATCCGCTGGTTCACTCCATAATTGACCTAAACAGAAAGAGCTGCGCTGATCTGAAACCAGGAGCCAGGAGCTTCCTCCAGGTCTTCCCACGCAGGTGCAGGGGCCCAAGGACTTGGGCCATCTTCCACTGCTTTCCCAGGCCACAGCAGAGCTGGATCAGAAGTGGAGCAGCCAGCCGGCGCCGCGGCTCACTAGGCTAATCCTGCGCCTTGCGGCACCAGCACACCAGGTTCTAGTCATAGTCGGGGCACCAGATTCTGTCCCGGTTGCCCCTCTTCCAGGCCAGCTCTCTGCTGTGGCAGGATGGCCCAGGTGCTTGGGTCCTGCACCCCATGGGAGACCAGGATAAGTAGCTGGCTCCTGCCATTGAATCAGCGCGGTGTGCTGGCCGCAGCGCACCGGCTACGGCAGCCATTGGAGGGTGAACCAACGGCAAAGGAAGACCTTTCTCTCTGTCTCTCTCTCTCACTGTCC